AAAAAAAAAAAAAAAAAAAAAAAAAAAAAAAAAAAAACACAAAACATACCAAATATTACAGGAAGGACTGATCTCTTGATCCAAAGATGCAGCTGGAAACAGGGGAGCCTATCACAGGAACTCTTTCAGAGCATGAAACTAGTCCTGCCAGGGGTCAGTGCAGCTCCTCAGCTCATCTGGCTTTTACTGTGAGAATGCCAAACCTTGGCCTTGTGAACTGCTTTAGAAGAATGGCACACAGCATGGCTTTCCTACATCATTAGTTTTTACAGCTAAAAACATATTGTGAGAGAAAACAGTTAATGTAAGGACCCAGACTGAATTGAACAAAGGGATTAAGGTTAGCAGCAAAGCCCATCTCTTGCCCGTATTTACTCCACCCCTTCTCAAAAAAGGCAAACTCTAAAAGATAAAATAAAAAAGAGAATAAAACAAGTACCAAGGATAGGTTAAGTAACAAAAGTAGTGACAGTAAAAATTAAACCCTGTTTGAATTTTTAGTATAAAAGTGGTCAGCCAAGCCCAGGAGAACATGAAGAGAATATGAAGCCACATGGAAAGCTGAGCCTACAGAAAGAATGGCAAAGACTGATGTTACACAAATGGAAGCAAAGGGTTCAGGGGAAAACAGGTTACCTAGGGGAAAAATGGGAGGCATCTGTCATGTGGTCTCATCCAAACTAGCAGGATAGGAAAAAGGGACTGGGCCATGGGCATATATATGCTTTTATCAAAACCAAGTTGGTAGGCTCATGGGAATCACAAGAGCCTCTCTGGGGAACAGGGATGCAAGCAGGAAAGAAGGCCCTTTAACAGACAAAATCCAAGCCAGAGCATGGTTTCAGAAGACGGAAGCAACAGGTTTAGAGGATCTCATTCCTTCAGCAATCCTTTTTTTTTTTTTAAAAAGATGACCGGTAAGGGGATCTTAACCCTTGACTGGGTGTTGTCAGCGCCACGCTCAGCCAGTGAGCGAACCGGCCATCCCTATATGGGATCCGAACCCGGGGCCTTGGTGGTATCAGCACCACACTCTCCCAAGTGAGCCACAGACCGGCCCTAGGAATAGATTTTTTTTTTTTTTTTTTTTAAAGATGACCAGTGAGGGGATCTTAACCCTTGACTCGGTATTGTCAGCACCACGCTCAGCCAGTGAGCGAACCGGCCATCCCTATATGGGATCCGAACCCGGGGCCTTGGTGGTATCAGCACCACACTCTCCCAAGTGAGCCACAGACCGGCCCTAGGAATAGATTTTTTTTTTTTTTTTTTTTAAAGATGACCAGTGAGGGGATCTTAACCCTTGACTCGGTATTGTCAGCACCACGCTCAGCCAGTGAGCGAACCGGCCATCCCTATATGGGATCCGAACCCGGGGCCTTGGTGGTATCAGCACCACACTCTCCCAAGTGAGCCACAGACCGGCCCTAGGAATAGATTTTTTTTTTTTTTTTTTTTAAAGATGACCAGTGAGGGGATCTTAACCCTTGACTCGGTATTGTCAGCACCACGCTCAGCCAGTGAGCGAACCGGCCATCCCTATATGGGATCCGAACCCGGGGCCTTGGTGGTATCAGCACCACACTCTCCCAAGTGAGCCACAGACCGGCCCTAGGAATAGATTTTTTTTTTTTTTTTTTTTAAAGATGACCAGTGAGGGGATCTTAACCCTTGACTCGGTATTGTCAGCACCACGCTCAGCCAGTGAGCGAACCGGCCATCCCTATATGGGATCCGAACCCGGGGCCTTGGTGGTATCAGCACCACACTCTCCCAAGTGAGCCACAGACCGGCCCTAGGAATAGATTTTTTTTTTTTTTTTTTTTAAAGATGACCAGTGAGGGGATCTTAACCCTTGACTCGGTATTGTCAGCACCACGCTCAGCCAGTGAGCCAACCGACCATCCCTATATAGGATCCGAACCCGTGGCCTTGGTGTTATCAGCACTGCATTCTCCCGAGTGAGCCACGGGACGGCCCCAGGAATAGATTCTTTAAACATGCAGGGAACAGCCTCCTTTCCAGTCCAAGGGACCCAATATATGTATATGCAAGATATTCCTATTTATAAATCTAATTAAATGAAGACATTGATAACTCTTATTAGTGTCCAGTTCCAAACCAATCTGCTCTCTAAAGCCAGACTGATAGCTCTAACAATCTTTATTTTTTTGTTTGTTTGTTTTTCCTTCAAGTCCCTTCCGTAGCTTGAAGGAAAAACAAAAACCAAAAAATCCCCTCTCTCATTCACCACCTCTAGGCCAAGAGAAATTATTTTTGGTTCAGGCTTTCACTGTGGAGGTCTGAAAGTGACTGAGTCAACAAAAAAATGACTCAGCAGATTAGGAGTACTAAAGGTCCCTGTGGAGCCAGGGTCCTGCCTGTTAGGTCACACTGTGCACTGGGATAAAACTCTCCTGGGACTGGCAAGCACCAACACAAGAAAGTAAGTGCAACTGGGACAGAAACCCTCACTCTAAATGTGGCAAGACTTAGAGAGTTTCTCACCAGGAGGGAACCTCCGTAAAGACCGCCTGACATCCAGCAACACTTGTTGGTAGTCCTTGCTCAACTGCCGTAGGTTCTTCCCTATTGGAGCAAAAGAAATATGTTATTGCAAGAATGACTAGGAAGCCAGATCAGGAGCAAAACATTCTGAAATGACATCAAAAGCCTGCAAGACACCTGGCTTTTTCCTGAAGAGGACATGACTCAAGATAACAACATTTGGAAGAGAATTCCTAGTTTAGTACCAAACACACACTGTTTCATGCAAGTCATGTTAACCTTAAGGGGAGGGAACACAGTTTGTCCAGGAGGCAACAGAGTTGGGTGGAGAGAGCAGGAGAGAAGTCAGGAGGCCAGACCCTAGTGCAGGCTGCCACTGTGCATCACTGGGGACTGCTCTGAATTTCAGTGTTCATATCTGTACCTCTCAGGTTACTATAAGGATCAAATAAATCATGAATGCAGAAACCACAGACCACTGAAAAAAACCGGTGTTCAGTTGATAAGCCCAATCCAGTGTGAAAGAAAGAAGGCAGTCTGTAACTGTTATGTAGGAGGGTACTTCGGAAATTTCATGGAAATAATTGTATTATCTTTTAATTCTATTTTTCCACAAAGTTTCTGAAGTACCCTTGTACTTATATAACAGGTATACACTTCCCTCAACCCAAACCAAGTGCTATATATTAGGTGTACATTTCCCTCACAAAATCAGATGCTACCAGAGGAGTTGGTGCAATACTTCCTCACACACAGACTTCATCTTACAAAAAACATGGGAAGCCTGAAATCTGAAAGAAGATCATCTCAGGATTGAGAGTGTGACTGTGGCAATGCCTTTGCTTTCCAACAAAAAGCTGACTGCTCTAAGGCAGCCAGTCCCAAAGATGATGACAAGTGGCAACGCAACACCTACTCAGTGGCACCAAGACACTGTGAACTTTTCCACAGCAGAGGTCCTGTTTGAATCACCTCCAGTACCTGGCACACAATTGGAGCACAACTAATATATGCTAAGTAAATGAAAGAATCCCCAGCACTCGGCATTTTGCCATAATGGCAGGAAAGCAATAAAGTGAGTGAATTAAGTGAATGAACAACAAAGTGGATTCATTGTTCCACAGTTCTTTCTTTTGTATTGTTTTTGTTTTTGGCGGCTGGCTGGTATGGGGTCTTCTGTATTTTAAACTGCATTCCAAAAAACTCCTTTTACTACATGGACCTTGCAAATTAGTCAAATAACAGCTTTCCTAGAATCACAGAATTTTAGAACTCCAAAGGATCGCAATAAAAATTTTTGTTTTTTGTTTGAAAGGACCACAGAGGTATTATCTCTCCCTGCAGTCCAATGTTTCTCAAAATGTAGTCATCTACATTGGAATCAGCTGGGGTGCTTGTTAAAATACAAATTCCTACAACCCACTTCCCATCAAGTGAATCTGGACTAGAACATACGTTTTTAATAAACTCCTCTACCTAGCCAATATTTTAGTCCCTAATAAAAGCGCATTCCGTTTTTGAAGAAAATTGTAGTTATCTGTTGGCCTTATTTTCAGACTGGACCCAAGTATTTCCTAAAGTGCTTTAGATTTACTCATCTACTCTTGGTTTGAAACAAGCACAAAAATCAAAGATTCTGGAATTCTTTCCTCCCTGCTTCCTACTCTTGGGAGTCCGCATGGGCTCCCCCTTACTCCATTACCTGATATGGGAGGTGGGTCATTGGTGTTGATATTGAGGAGCTTGGGCCACACTTTCCGCCTGATATCATCATTAAGGAGCCCTCCTTCACTGATAGCCATGCGTCTAAGGGCAGCCACATCAGTGGGCTCACTGTTCAGAGCCTGGTATATCTCTGCCACTTTCTTTTTCTTTTTGGTGTTAAAGTCTGCAAAAAAAAAAAAAGGGGGGGGAGCATTAGGCACACATTCAGCATTTGTATGTCTTCTGCTTAGGGCTCAATCTCCTTATTTGGTTTGAGGTACAGGTAAGTATCTACTTCTAGACAGATAGCTCTGAGATCACTTGCTGACATAAAGTCTCATAGCCAAATGCACTATTAATTTCAGGCCTACCCACTGAACCTCACTGGGGTGGGGGTGGGAGCAGGAAGTTCATTATAAAGTAGATTTTAGGTAGCCTATTTTAAAAAGATAATCTCTTTCTATAGGTCTGAACCAAAGATCACAGGCACAGACCAGAAATAATTATATTTTTTCAAAAGAAAGATTTAGTGAAAAAAAGGATGTATTTAAATCAGACAGATCTTGGTTCACCTCCTGGCTCTGCCACTTATTTGTTCTATAACTTTGGGCAGATTACTTAACCTCTCTGGGCCTCAGGGTTGACATCCTCCTGTCAGGACAGCTACCATGGTACACAGTAGATACTTATTAAATATTAGTTCCCCTCCTATCAACCTACAGTTATTTAATTAGCACATAATGTACAAAACACTAAGGAGACATACTGTGTAAGTAACAAGCAAGGAATTACAATTATAACAAATGCTCAGTAAATTCAGGCATATCTAGCAGTTAGTGACAATGTTTTCCTACAGAATGCTTGCTCTTTCTTAATACCCAAACTTCACAAAGCATATATACCTCTCAATACCCAAACTTCACAGAACATATATATCTCTTTTTTTTTTTTCCTTTTTGTCTTTTTTCGTGACCGGCAACGGATCGCAACCCTCAGTGTTGCGCCCGTACCAGACCGGAACCGGCAACGGGATTGCAACCCTCAGTGCTGCACCTGCACCTCGCTCAGCCAGTGAGCGGGAACCGGTCTGTATGTGGGATCCGAACCCTCGGCGGGAGCGCCGCCCCACTCCCAAGCGGCGCACTGTAGCAGTGCGCCACCGGGCCGGCCCAAAACAACTGTTTCTTAACAACCATAGTAATTAGTAGAGATCAGAAAGCAAAATTAAGCATCTTACATCCTTATGTGATAGTCTGTTATTCACAAGCATTTTACTGTGTTTAAATTACTTTTTAGGAAATTAGTTGGGAGTTTGTAGTTGATATCTATCATATTATAATTTTTCTATTTAAAATAATGAGGTAATAGGTTCTCAGAGTTTTCATGAAGAATGTCTACCTTTAGGAATGGCCTGTTGCAGTTAAATGGATGATGCCTGTATTTAGATTCTTTCTGATTGCCTGCATCATCGAGTATATAAGACAAAAACACAAGACACCACCAATTGTCACAAGGCAGTGCACTATAATTCCCCCCAAAAAGATGGGTGCAGACAATAAATGTCAAGAGCTCAAAGAGATTGCAGCAGGTCAGGCTAACCTGAGAAGTGCACCTCAGAAGAGAAGGGGAGGAGTTAGAGGGGTTGGGAGGAGGGGTAGAGAAGAGAAGAAAGGCTTGGAGGTAGGAACATAAGGCCCTTTCATTTGACAGTAAACAGACTCATTAAACAATATTTTTGGAGTATATACTAGGTACAAGGCACTAGAGTTAATGTAAAGTGGAAGATAATACCAGAAGGTAGGTTAGGCTTTAGAAGGGACTAACATTGGAAGGCATGTTAGGTTTTAGAAGGGACACTAAGCCACATTCCTCAGCAATGTTCTATTCTGAGACAAAAGTCTACAAATTGTTTCCATGACAAAGGTGCACATCATTAACACAAATAAAAATTGGTACTCACAGCCCCGATAATCTACTTACGAAAGCTGTGACACATAAACCACATAAACAGAGGCACCAACTGGTTTGGAGTCACATGCAATTCGACATGGAGAAAGGAAAATAACACAAGTGACTTTTCACCCAGGTAAACCTGTACTCCTGGCTAGACTGTTGTTGTTTTTACAAGTAACCTAGCAGGGTGACCATTTGTTCCAGTTTGTCTGAGATCTTCCTGGTTTACACCTATAGTCCTGGCATAATTGTTCGTAGCAACCTCCCCCTGCTCCCTGCACTCTCAAAAATGTCCCAGTTTGGATGCTAATTAAGTGGTTACTCTACCTAGAAATCATGAAAAATCAAGTCCCCAATTTCCTCTGTCAGCATATAACTAGCACATAACTAGTTAAATGCTTGCTTATGAGAATTTAAAAAAAAAAAAGTATGAGATGTGTCAAGCACGTGGCTCAGGTGTGTCCTTTCATCCATTCATCCATCTACCCATCCACCCACCCATTTGTCCATCCATCCATTCATCTTTCCATCATTTAATGAGTGCCTACTTGTACTAAGCACTGTACTAGGGATAAAAAGATGAATATGACTCTCTCTGTCTTTGAGAGGCTTATAGGGAGGGACACAAACATTTATTATATATGATACAACAGAATCATGAAGAATTATAAATATCCAAAGGAAAAAATGACTACTTCTGAGGCACACAGGAAAGGCTTCATCAAGAATATTTTCTGGTACCTTCTTAAAGAAACTTTGCCACATGGAAGAGTGTGTTGAAGGGAAATCAATCCAGGCAGAGGAAAGAGTATGTGCAAAGACCCTGTCATATGAAAGAAACAGCATGTCCAGGAAACAAAGAGAAGTTCTGTGTAGCTGAAGTGTCAGGTAAAGGGAAAGAATAGAAGCAGGAAGGAGTGCAGTAAATGAGGCTCGTAGAAGAGTCTGGGCTGGATTCATCCCGCAAAAGAGTATGGGTTTTATCCTGCACTCAAAAGGAAGACAGGGAAAGATTTCACTTTGGGCCTCAGGGGCCATCCTTTGGAAGAACAGGCTGTATGTTTTCTTTTTTGTCCTTTTTGAGACCGGCCGCACCGCGCTCTCTCTCCCGAGTGCGCCACGGGCTCGGCCCAGGCTGTATGTTTTCAAAGAGGGGTCAGACATGCAGGAAACAGGAGACTTGTTATATAACAACATAGCCTGAGACAATATATGAACAGAAATAGAATTAATTTCCAACCAAGAAAACAATCTAGCAGACATTTACTTTTTTTAAAACAAAGTACCCTTGCACTTTCCCCACACCACAAATTAAGAGCACTTAAACGGTAATACTGAAAACTGCTTGAGGGACGCTGACATTTAGAAATCTTGTTAACCGACTTGTTAAGAATATGTTAACTTTTTCTCAATTTGTTTAGACACATATCCACCCCCACTCCTCTTTCCAAGTAAGCTAGTCAGCAATCTGGAGGAAAGGAAAACTGTTACTTCTGTTTTGGAGAAAAGAACACTGCAATCAGCTGGATTTCCATGAGATTTAAGCAAATAATCTGTCAGAATGTTAACTAATTCTGAACCCAAACCATAGCTCCACTACTTATTTTACTTAAGACTCTGTTCTGATTCTATTTTCAATCTTGCATTTCAAAATTTACTTTCTTCTTGTTTTTGACACTCTGTAGAAACTCACTAAATATGTGCAGAATAAAATAAATGATTTAGCTTAGTTATTTTTCCTCTGGAAAAAACTGGCCTATCGTGAATGACATTTTCCCCCCATACTACTGTTAAGAATATGCTCCCCCATACCAGCCAGCTGCTTAAAAAATAATAATAATAATAAATAATTAAAAAAAAAAAAAAAAAAGAATATGCTCACTGAAGAACTCTAAATGGACCTGTAGACTTGGGCTGGCTCAGCTGGTTAGACCATGGTGTTATAACACCAAGGTCAAGGGTTCAGATCTCCGTACTGGCCAGCTGCCAAAACACAGAAAAACAAAACTACTGGTACGTCCCAGACTAGGATGCTGCTCAAATGTAGGTTTTAGCTGCTGTCCAGGCACCAATACCACCTTCCTTGACCCCACATTCCAGTGATTAAACGTTAGTGGTAGATGAGGAAGGCACTCCTACATGTGCCACCCCCACAAATACTTCATGTATAGGCTCTCATTGTGGCATACAAAGGGAAGAGAAAACAGAAAATTCAAGTGAGCTAGAGCTGTATAAATCACAAAGTAAGAAGGTCAAGTGCTAGACTACACAATGAGGGAGAAAAGGTTGGCAGAGTCGTTTCACTGAACCACTAATTCACACACATCCTATTTATTTTAGAAAGAGAGAAATCATAGAGCTATTTTTTGGATGTTCAAGAGAAGATTAAAATAATACCTACCACCTACTTTAAGATAAATGTTATATACAGATTTTAGAATAGTACAAACATTTCTGGACTTGAAAATGCTTATCTGGGGGCCGGCCCGGTGGCACACTGCTACAGTGTGCCGCTTGGGAAGCGCAGCGGCGCTCCCGCCGAGGGTTTGGATCCCACATACAGACCGGCCGCTCACTGGCTGAGCGAGGTGCGGGGGCAACACTGAGGGTTGCGATCCCGTTGCCGGTCCCGGTCCGGTACGGGCGCGACACTGAGGGTTGCGATCCGTTGCCGACAAAAAAAGAGATAAAAAGGAAAAAAAAAAAAAAGAAAAGAAAATGCTTATCTGGGCTTGGGATAAAAGCCCGTGTTTCATCTGGAGGTAGCATATACATGATTATAATTTCCCTGAAAAATTTCTCCTCCAATTTCTTTATTGCCCCAATTATAAGAGAGGTATATTGTATATTACAAAGCTGATACTTTCCAAATCCCTTGATAGTAGAGGTCTTGCCTATCATAACCATGATGGAATGAAATGACTGTCCTATAGCTGGCTGCAAACTATAAGGCTGCTATAAATGGATTCCTGATGCCTGAAAAGTAATTCATTCAACAAAGAGAAAAGAAAAGATATAGGTACTACTTTGGCCTGTTCTCCACTAAAATGCTTATTTTAGTAAGGGACACTGAAGCAGTGGTTCTCAACATTTTTGGTAAGATGGCTCGTTACTGTCTTAAACTTTTCCCAACTCTGGCTACAGAGCCCAGGTAAAGATTTCTGCCTCCTCAGAGTAACAGGTATCGCCAAAAGCATTCAGCTTGGGGAACTTCATATACAGGGGAAGGACAATGACTAAAGATCACCACTAGCTATGCTTCCTTTACAAGTTTTTCCATATCATCAAAATAAATATTAGTGACTTGGATCAGGTAAGCGACCTACTACACACTTATGTAACAGAGCTCATGGGAGGCACAAAATTCCATACTGACTACTTGGTCTAAGCTTGCATATCAAGAAAGTTTTACAGCCTTTAAACAGAAGTTAAATTAAGCAATGGAAATTAAAATATATGCTTGAAATTCGTTATTTGTACCGAGAAAGACAGTGGGAGAGTAAATTCCTACTTTATTCTGGGTAAGATTCCTATTAATAACAAAATAAAACAAAGTAACTTCTGTTTCAGAAAGTCCTAATTAGTTTCTACAAAACAGTACCCCAATTAGCAGAGATTCATTAACTACCCAAAACATAAAGATAAGCAGGTCTCACAAAAGAATGCTTTAGCCCAACAATGAAGAAAAATAGTTTAGAGAGTAAACCAATCTGGCCATAAACTCCACAAAGGAGGGCTTCTAGTACTAGTAACTTTGCCAACAATTCTCCAATATGATTACAAACGAAACAAAAATTTAAAAAACTCATCTCTAAATTCCTCCCATTCATTCAGAGAAGCAAAACCAAGGGAACTAGGTGGGGGGTGGGAGAGGGAGTAAAGTCTTGCAACAGGTCTCGAGACCCAGGCCGCTTAGGGCATTGACTATTATGCCATTAGGACAGATGTCATACAAACACAAGCAAGGGGTTATAATACCAAAGGCCCCAGAGAGGTAATATGTGATCTAAACTCCACTTACATCCAGTGTGAGAACAAGAGAAAAAGGGGATAACAGAAAATGAGCCCAGGGAAACAACACGCAGATACCAGGAGCTTCATCAAAAAATGCAAAATATAGGCCGGCCCGTGGCTCACTCGGTAGAGTGCGGTGCTGATAACACCAAGGCCACGGGTTCGGATCCTATATAGGGATGGCCGGTTTGCTCACTGGCTGAGCGTGGTGCTCACAACACCAAGCCAAGGGTTGAGATCCCCTTACCGGTCATCTTAAAAAAAAAAAAAAAAAGAGAGAGAAAAGAAAAAAAAAATGCAAAATATGTGGGTTGAATAACGTGGTTGGTTCTATTATGGGAACCACCCATCAGAGGACGGGAAAGTGGGAAAGCTACCTTAGTCTTCCCCAGCCGGGAAAAGATTATTTCACTTTACAAAGTAAGCATTCATAATTTTAACTGCCATGTATTTACTGTATGGAAAACATCTTGGAGAATATAATGTGCAAGAAAACCGTGATTTCACAGAAGTTACGGTTTAGACTGAAACACTGTAAAGACTAGAATCGCTTCTTATACAATTAAATAGCATTAAAACAGGCGGCACAGGACGGAGACCGAAAGGAGATCAGTGGTTGCCAAGAGCCGTGGATACTGGAGAGTGGCGAGTGATGGTACGGGGTACGAGTTTCTTTTCGGAATTTGAAATGTTTTGGAATTAGTGCCGATGGTTGCACAACTTTACGAATGTACTAAGAATTCCTGAACTGTACAGTTTTAAAGAGTGAGTTTTATGGTAATTAAAAGACACAGACGGTACAGAAACACCGCGTAAACCCAGGCGGCTATAAACGAATGAAGTTTGGGAAACCTACCTTACAACAAGGGAGAGGCACCAGGAGTGTGCGGAGTGAGGCCTGGCCTCAGTTCTCAGGGACCCCCAATTCTACTCTGCAGATATAAGGAGGCCGGAGCGCGGAGCCCCCGCCCAATCCTTCCCACTGGGGACGCGATTCTGCCGCCGGGATTCCCCTGGTCTGCTCAGCATCTGCCCGGTCCCTATTCCAGGCCCTCTCCCCCTTCAGACGTGACCCGGGCCCTTCAGTCTTTTCCTCTCCCGCCGTCCCGAATCCCGCCCGCGGCTCCCTCCGGCGCAAGGCCGCCTCGGCCCGCTCCTCCAACAGCTGTCCCCTGCCCCTCGGGCCGCCCTACCCCCAGTCCGTCCTCGCAGGCCGCTCCCCGGCCGACTTCCGTACCTGCCTTCTCGGAGCCGCCATCCCAGCGACTGGAGGTGGGGCCATCGCCCTGCGCACTACGGAGAGCCATGCCCCGGGGGCCCGGGCCCCGGCCCGAGCCCCGGCAGACAGCAGAGCCGTGAGAAGACGCGGCTGTGGCCGCAGAACACAGCGCAATCCCCGCGGGGTCAGGGTCGGCTCCGTCGGCCGGCGGCACGCATGCGCACAGGAACACAGGCGTCCTCACGCGGCCCCGCCCCCACGCCGGCACGTGACCGCCTCTTCGCGAGGGCGAGCGGCGGTATCCGGGGCAAGCGTGTGCTGCTGCAGCGGCGGGGAAAGCACGGCGAGCATGGCGGAGAGTTATTTCTATCCGAACTGTGTAGAGCGTGGCGTTCTCTACTTAGTGTGTTCAGTTCCAGATTTTGTCATTTTTTTTGGTTTTATTATCTGTAAAATGGTACTGAGCTCACAAGTTTATTGAGAAAGTACTGAGAACAAACACGCTCCTGATATTGTCGTAGCCAGAAACTGTTCCACCTGCTAAATCTCCAATGTTGGGCCCCGACTCTGAAAATCCCATGATTCCAGTGGTTTGATACCCTTCTCTTCCCCCACTCCGCGCCTTAACAGTTGTTTATTCTTCTGAGACCTCCAGCCCCTGGAACCCATTACTACTGGCCCTTCCTGGTTTCATGTCCATCCTGTCCAATCCAGGTTCTAGGGTCCACCATTACATTTTTTTTTTTTTTTTTAAAGATGACCGGTAAGGGGATCTTAACCCTTGACTTGGTGTTGTCAGCACCACGCTCAGCCAGTGAGCGAACCGGCCATCCATATGTGGAATCCGAACCCGGGGCCTTGGTGTTATTAGCACCGCACTCTACCGAGTGAGCCACGGGCCGGCCCACACCATTACATTTTAAGTCCTTTTTTAGGGTCCTCCGAGTAACTTTCATGTGCAGAAAAGATTACTCAAACTAATTTGATTTCTAAAACTAAAATTTATTAAAATTAGAAATCCACAAACCTAGGGCCGGCCCGTGGCTCACTCGGGAGAGTGTGGTGCTGATAATACCAAGGCCCCGGGTTCGGATCCCATATAGGGATGGCCGGTTCGCTCACTGGGTGAGCGTGGTGCTTACAACACCAAGTCAAGGGTTAAGATCCCCTTACCGGTCATCTTTAAAAAAAAAGAAATCCACAAACCTAGATCATAATTTGTTGACAAATTTTACAATTCTATTCATAATTCTAGTACATAATAGTGACTTCTTTGGTCCCAATAATAAACTTGGTAGATTAAAATCCTTTGAACATTGGAAACTGCATTTATAAATTTAATAATTCATTCCCCCTTTTTAAGTATCACAATTTTCTAACAAAGCCTCTCAAGTCTTGTAAATGTGACAAATTAAACTTACAAATACGTTGTCATTACAGTAGTAGCTTTTTCAGACTGGCTTCTTTTACTAAGCAAATTTACATTTAAGGTTCTTTCATGTCTTTTCATGGCTTAGATAGCTCATTTCTTTTTATTGCTGAATAATATTTTATTGCATAGAAATATTTGTTTATTTACTCACCTTTTGAAGAAATTCTTGGTTGCTTCCAGTTTTGGACAATTATAAGGTACTATGAACATCTGTATGGTAAATAAATAAATACATTGTCCTGAGTTCTTTTAAATGTCAATACAAACTTAAGACTTCAACTTAAAACTCAAGTCTAAATCAATTATTCAAATACACATTTGTAATCGATACCATAAGAATCATCTGTTAGAATTCTTGAAATTATCTTAAACAGTACAAGCATGTAAAGTATCACTTTCATATATATTCCTTAATGCAAAAATATTAACAGTAGGAGTCTGGAAACATTTCTGCTCTTTATCCTAAAACATTGTTGAGGTTAAAAGATACCTAGTGCCCACTGAAAAAATAATTAAGTCATCCCAATTTAGGAGTAACCTTCTCAAGCAATTTGAGGTATTTATTCCCTTCTCAGTTTACGGGGCTGGTCAGCCAGCCAGCTGGATTCTTGCCTTGGATAGTAATGAGATAGTGACCCCTCTTCCCCACTGCAGCTACTCTAAACAGTTGTGCGGTCTTTGTGAGGCTTAGGCCAACTCTCATCCTTTGTAAAACAAGGAATTGGCAGGCTCTCAAGAAAAAGGGAGAGATGGTTAAGCAACTGTCAAGGGCTCAGCAAGGTGAAGAATGAGGAGTCCCATAGAGGTATCCCATTCCTGTTCTGGGCTGGTACTCCATTTTCTGGGCAGCACTTCATCATCACGGAGCTCTAAATGACAGTATGACCAGTCAGTTTGCCTCACAATTCCCTGTGCCCACTCTTTTTGAAAGGAGCTCTATGTGTGTGCCAAAAATTAAAAACAAAACAAAAACACCAAAACCTTCCTGGACCAATAGAAATCAGCCTACGTCAGACTGTGATCTGAGTGCTATGGTAATGGTGCCCTGTGGCAGGAGCTTAGAACCTCTAGGTGAGCCAGAGTTTGCCAGGCTGGCCTGCCACAGAGCCCAGGACACCAGGAAGCACAGACATCTTAAGGTAATTTTTAAAATTATTTTATTTTCAGGCCGGCCCGGTGGTGCACTGGAGAGTGCAGCGCTCCCGCTGAGGGTTCGGATCCCATGTGGAGACCGGTTCCCGCTCACTGGCTGAGCGCGGTGCGGGCGCAACACCGAGGGTTGTGATCCCGTTGCCGGTCAGTAAAAAAAAGACAAAAAGGAAAAAAAATTATTTTATTTTCACTCATTCCATTTCTAGTGCTCTTAATTGCATGTTGTTGATCCAGGTTGCTGTCTGGTATCTATTCCTTCTGCCTGAAAAACTTATTTTCATATATATATACATATATATATGTGGCTGGCTGGTACAGGGATCCTTTTAATATTCCTGTAGAGTAGGTCTTCTGGCAATGAATTCCCACTTTTTGTCTGAGAAAGGCTTTATTTCTCCTTCATTTTGAAATATATTTCCACTGGATATAGGATACTGGATTGAGTTTTTGTTTTTTTACCTCCTTTTAGCACTAAAGTCACTCCATTGTCTTCTAGCTTGCATGGTTTCTGATAAGTCTCTATCATTCTTAGCTTCCTCTGTATGTAATGCCTTTTTTCCTCTGGTTGTCTTTAAGATTTTGTCTTTTGTTTTAGCATTTTGGACATTCCTACTTGTGTGTATGTGTATGTGTATAAATTTATTCTGCTTGGTGTTCTCCGAGCTAATTGGGTCTACGGTTTGGTTCTGTCCTTAGTATTGGAATTCCCAGCCTTTAGTTTTTCAAATGTTTCTTTTCTCCTGTTCTCCCTCTCTTCTTCTGGGAATCTAATTACACATATGTTAGAATGTTTGATATTGTTTCACAATTCTTGGATGCTGTTTTTTGTTTTGTTCCCCCCCCTTTGTGTTTCAGTCTGGGTAATCTCATGGACCTATCTTCATAGTTCACTCATTCTTTCCCTGGCTGTGTCAATTCTACCAATGAGCTCACTAAAAGTATTCTTCCTCTGTTAATGTTTCCCATTTTGAGCACTTCCATTTTTTTTTTTTTTTTTTTAAAGATGACCGGTAAGGGGATCTTAACCCTTGACTTGGTGTTGTCAGCACCACGCTCAGCCAGTGAGCAAACCGGCCATCCCTATGTGGGATCCGAACCCGGGGCCTTGGTGTTATCAGCACCACACTCTACCGAGTGAGCCACGGGCCAGCCCGAGCACTTCCATTTTGAGTTTTAGTTTCCATCTCTCTGCTGAGATTACACTTTTGATTTTGCAGTCTACTTTTTCTGTTAGACCCTTTACCATATTAGTTACAGTTATTTTAAATTTCTGTATCAGCACCACACTCAAACCAACTGAGTTTTTTATTGTTGGTTTTTGGCAGCTGGCCAGTACAGGGATCAAACCCTGGACCTTGGTGTTGTCAGTACCATGCTCCTCTCAACTGAGCTAACCAGCCAGCCCTTGTATCAGACAGCTCCAACATCTGTGTAAAAAGATGAGGGTTCAGTGCTCAAACTGCTTATCCTGCTCACAACAGCACCACACATGCTCTTATTTCCCATCACTCATCCTTTCATTATAATTATACTGTAATTTTGGTTAGATCAGTATTCAGTGTTTCCATTATGACGCTGTAAATTCTATTGACAGCTGAACCAGTAGTATGAAATTTAGTTTTCCTTCCTTTCATAACTTCTTTCCCTCCCTCTGGAGTTAATACTTTCTTGGTTTATTTTAGTTTGCTTATTCTTCCTTTTATTTTTAAAACTTTTTAATATTTGAACTCTTAACAGAGTGCCCCAAGCATAAATGTACACTTCGACAACCAATTATAGAGCAAACACACACGTAAGCATCACCCTGATAATTAGAACACTGCTAGTCCCTGGAAATCCCCTCTGTGCGGTAGCATTTTGTGTTGTGTCTGACCATGGAGCCCCAAAGCCTGATTCTTGATTTGTGTTGCTTGAAAATAAGAGTTCTCTCTGATAAATACATATATATGTAACTCATATATATAACTTACAGATAATAAAAAAGAATAAAATTACCCACAATTTTCATTCCTCAGTGATAACTAAAGAGTTGGTGTGATCTTTTTCATACATACATACACACACAGATTATATATGGGGCCTTCCATTCCTGAGATAGTGTGGTTAATTGCATTATTGATTTCAGTTCTTCACTCCCCTGTGATAAGACTATACACAAACACTTTTTGCCATATAACTTCACACTGTTCTCCCAACATGGGGTGTGTACCTCCCTGCCCCACTGATGTGCTTGGTTATGTGACTTGCTTTGGCCAAAGGGATGATAGCACATTTGACACGAGGCTTGAAATGTGCTTGTATGATTTCATTTGGCCTCTTGTGTTTCACTGATAAAACATGAGAAGAGTACGCCCTCGGTAGCTGCTGCAGCTTCAGCATGGGACCCAGAAGGAACGACATGGAGCAAACCTGAGTCCAATTCACGAGGACATGCACAGCCCAGCCTCAACTTGAAGCACAGCTGCTTGGCTGAATCCAGTTTAATTCAACTGATCTAGACTGGCTGAACTCAGCTGATCTTCAGGACAAGACTAGAGAGAGCAAAAGCAAGAAAAAGAAAAATTTGTCTGTAATTCACTGGCTAGAAACCCAGACAGGGATTCCTAGCAGCACAGCTGT